TTTCATGAAACCTGTACAATAAATAAGAGAACATTTGTGCCACTATTCTACTAAATCTTTTGTTTAGAACAATTTTCACTGAGGAACTTTCTTTTTTTGTGAATAAAGTTGAGCATCTAGATTTGCAATGTATGGTTCACGGTTATGAGATATTTGACCGTGGTAGAACAGATTATTTTACTAAGAATGAAAGCTCACACAGAGGAATGACGCTCGGATAAATGATTGCTCTGTGAGTTCTTTGACATTGACGAACAATAAAGAAAACGGTGCTGTTTACATCTGATGTCTCCTTTATTTTTCTATGATTTATTTTTTGTATTAAATTATTTCCCTCTAAGGATAAAAATGACTTCCTTACATCTTTATCTTATATGAAGTTACATACAATCACATTCAGTGATTTACAATAGTTTTGAGTTTCCTTTGATTCAGTAACAGTATTCTTGAAATAAAACACATGGTATAGACTGCTGTATTTTCAGCTTTTATGTTACCATGTACTCAGAACAAACATTTGATATTCAGAGCAATAAGAAATATTTTCATACAGAAATGTGGAATTAACGTTTTAATAACTTCCAGGAGGATGTTATGAAATCCTTTTAATTGGACAAATAAGCCTCCCTCTGAACGCATTTTCTGTTTTTTTTTTTTTTTTTTTCGCACAAAATCGCTTGACTTGCAAGAATAAACTGTAATTTAAATAGGTTACTCAAGTTTTCTGTTTCTGAAATCACAAAAACAACTGTCTGTTACTAGGCTCAGCTTATTTAATCAATATATAGGAATTAGCTTGATATTATAACCTTTGAATGAAAGTAGATCAATAAATCAGATTTTTTTATAACTACTTACCATCTTTAAAGAAAGTATAACTGAATATAAGAAAGCTTTAAAGGCTCACACTGTTTTGCCTAAATAAACTTTTATATTGTGCATCTAAGCCTGCTGCTTTTAAACAAGGTTCCACCTTAGAAAATACCCCCCTTATACTGATATTGCTTATGTGTGTACAAACCTAACTTTTTCAGACAAAATAAGTAATGCCTTTATTGTCCTCCAGTGAAAGAAACAGGCATGTTCAAGTTTAATACGCACACAAAAAATAAAAAGCAGGCAGTTATAACACAAAAACATGCAAATGAACATGATTTTAGAGCCGAATGGTTCTAGATCATGTGAAAGGTTTTTGCTATTTCCATTTAACATAATATATAAATATATCGAGCAGATTACAAAAAGTGCAAATAATGCTTAGATCAGATCTAAGCTGTGCGACCAGGAGCATGTTTGTAAATACCTGTAGGGAGCAGCTGGGATGATAAAGTCTAACACAGACAGGGAGGAATGATCCAGCGTCCCTTTATGAAGGATATCACAGTTTAAAGCAACAGCATTTTATTTACCTCTCTGGCTTCCTCTGGATGTGCTTCTACCAATTTACCCTTCAGTACTATGAATGTTTTGAAGTTTTTTGAGAACGTTCAGACATTACACACTTCCTACATGAAAACCCAGCAGGAATTTCTTGTTATTGTTTTTCCCTCTTAGCTGCAGGTCCTATTAACCCCCTTATACATTTTGTAAAAAAAAAAATCTGACTTTGATTTCATATTTAGTGACTTTTTAATTAAAAGAGGACATATACATAAACATGTCAGTTTGACTCCAGGCTGTCAAGCTTTTACAGATATACAGGAAATATCAACATTTTACATCTTTCTTCAAAGACTTTCAGGGGTCTATCTCTACATAGCCATAACCATAGCAGTGTGAGAACCACTAATAGTTAGAACAGCATGAAGAAGGAGAAACAAAGAGTTTGATATTTACCATGCCTGTGGTACGTCACTAAAGTCAGGGCAGGGGTGGAGCCTCTTAAGCCGTTTCTCTTCTCCCTGACAAATTTAGAGGGGAAGTGTGTTTATAAGGATACTTGGAAAGAAGCGGATAGAGCTCACTGGCAAGCTTTCATTGGGTTACTCATTTTGGCAGGAGTGTACAAATCAAAAGGCAAAGAAACAGCAAGCCTTTGGGCTGCTGAAGCTGGAAGGAAAATCCTGTTTCCATGTGTCATAAGCTGTTATGATAGGGAAACAAGTTCGCTTAAAACTCTTCTAAACTTAATGCTGCCCAGTTTTATCAGCTTCCAAAGACAGTTTCAGACTCTTCTCTGTTCCCCATTTTCCATTCACATGGAGGGCTGCTTGGCTTGCAAACAGTTTGTACAGCAGCAATTTACTTCTTTAATAAATACCAAAAAGTCAATAGTTATTTTTAATCAGTAGCAGAGAATCAGGTAATGAAACAATGGATTCAGCCTCCCCCCATCGGTAGAGAGTGGAGGTAATTAGAGTTGAGGATATATTTGCAGTTTAAGAAGTAAAACACATATTAAGTGGATAGTTTTTAATGGGCAAGCTGTGGATAAAATGAGATGATAAAAGCGATTACCCTAAAATAACAGTAGACTATTCAATCTCTTAAGATGTGGAAACTTTTTAAATATTTCAACATATGTTAAATTGTTTGAACAAGATAAACATCTGTAGTTCCTGACAGGAATGTCAGTAAAAAAAAAAAGAAAGAAAAAAAAAAAAAGCTATGTGCTGTTCAAAGGAAAACTTAAGGCCCAATTGCACAGATGCTGCAGTAGATTAACGAGAGCTTAACCAGTTGGAAACCCTTTTCCAAAACGTACTAGGGCAGAAAAAGATCCTGTTAGTGTCTAATAGAATGAATCCAAAGAATAATCTCTAAGCTGATGGAAAGGCTAGTGCACGATTTGCTCATGACCACAAGCACAGAAACATCCCAGTGAAACTAATAATGAATACTGTAACCTCTTCTAAACTCAATGATCTAAAGAACCTTTTTGTTTTTCAGTTAAAGCTGATTAATGTCATAACAACCGGATAACATGACTGCCTAAACAACCAAGGATTTCATCTGATCAATAGAAGAGAAAAGGATTTGATTGGCTGGTTCCAGATAAGATCCCAATGGCATGCCTTTTATCTGATACTCTTAAAGTACTGTAAACAATCAAAAATGTGGGGGCAAAAAAAAAAATCACTGAGCCTAATGGCTTTAGGATGAAGTTATAGAGAGAAAAAGATTGGTAAAAATAAACTTACCAGCCAGATAGACAGCAAATTATCCAGTCACATGGCTGCAGTCCTTCATGTTTAGGTGCCTGGAAAAGAGGAAGAGGACTGGGACGAGTTCTTCCTGCCTTGGACCATTGATTCAGGCTGCTGCCGATGGTATGATCATAGGATGTCCTAAACGGATAATTACATCCCACTACACCGATGTTGGCACACTGATAAACACACAATGCTTCTGTCTAACATTTATGAAACCACTTGGTTAATAATAATTTTAGAGTTAGACAGACTTATTGTCATTTATTATACACAGAGTGTATACAAAAGAAATTACGCTGTTTAAAGCTTACAACAGTTAAATGAACATTACCATTTAAAGTGCAGCAGTGGTCAGAATGTAAACAGTGTAGGAGAGAAAGAACACCAGCTTAAAAAATAATGGTGCAAAAGGGTATTACTACGGAAATATGGTTCGGTGCAGTGCAAAATAAATATGGTGCAAAAATGCGATAGAATATTGAGTTTTGTTCTATTTAAAATGATTCTAATGTTTTCAGCCATGTTGGTGGTGCAAAATAATGTTGCATGTGTGATGCAGGGTCCAGTTTAGAGTTCAACAGTCTGATGGCAGAGGGGAAGATGCTGTTGCTGCATCGAATGCTGCAAAGCCTCTTCCCAGAGGGCAGCAGGGAGAGGGGTCCATGGTGGGGGTGTGAGGGGTCACTGATGATGTTACGGGCTCAGGACATGCAGTGCTGGGACGAAATTTCCTTAATGGGTCAGTTGTTCTCATACCTGTGATTGTTTACTGTTGTTCTCTGTGTAGTTAAACATTTTCTAACACCTCACACTACAAAATAAGCCTTAAAAGCATTTATGATTTGTGTTGATGTTGTATCGGGTCAAAATTTATATTGGTCAGTTCTCAAAGGTGCAATATCGTTATCATATCAGAAATGAAGAAGTTATTTCAGGACAGCCCTACTTCAAGCCACAATTAATAACCCCTAGTACAGGAAACAGTTGATAACTGCTTGTTCCTTGTGGTATTGCTTCTTACCATCTCCTTCCCCTTATGATCACAGCCATATTTTCCTGTTGCCTTCCAGCAGGACATCACACCACATAAAAAAATAAAATAAAATAAAAATTAAATCATGGTTCCTGGACATGGTAAGGACCTCCCTGTGTCCCAGCACTCTGTCTATATAGTTATCACTCTTAATCATTATAAATAGAAAAACCACCAATTTGAAGCAACAGTATAACGTTAAATGCCAATCTAGACCAAAAAATCTGTCTATGAAGAAGAGTGCAGTTCTGGAGGCAGTTTCCTAATAATGTGGCCTGTGGGTGTACCGGTATAATTATTTTTTTTTTTTGAGAAAACTTCACAAAATACATACCATAATATCATTCACAGTTTATCAGATCTGAAAGTATTGTTTCATTTTTTTAGAGCATCCTACATAAAAACAGCTGTAACTTATAAAACTTATATTGATTTATTCCAGAGTTGCTAAAAGGTAATATAAACAATAGCAAATAAGCAGTTTCTTTCACTAAAGCAGTGACATTACTTTTTGCAGCAGTCATTTTCCCTTTAGTCTTTTCGGACTTTTTGATGAAGAACCTGATCTCCCAGAGATTTTATGTGGTTTAACGGGGCCTTCATTATTGAAACAAATAGTCCTTAGGTTGCCCTCAGATACCCGTGACCTGATCTGCAGACAGACCACTTATTGAGTCTGATGGCCTCCAGCATAATGGGATCTAGACTTTTGGAGGCACACGAATGACTGGGGGAGGTAGACATGAACACTGAGGACTTTATAGCCCATCACAGTCATGAGCTGGTTCCTCAATGCTGAGTGGAAGAGATAGGAAAAACTAGCATATGCAGTAGGTTGGCTGTAGAGGATAAATAGAGGCATGGTACACCAGACCCGCTCCTTTTTCATGCAGAGGAAGACTGAACAAGAGCTGCTGCAAGTTTTTTTTTTTCTTTTGCCAAAGAATCGTTTCAGGGGAGTGTTGCTTTTGTCTATGAGGCGTTCCTGTTTAATGGCAGTAAATCAGATTACTAGTTCAAGCTGAAAGTTTCTTCCACACTCTTTTTTCACTTGGAATCGAGCAATGAGGTCTCTTCTCCTCACCGTTTGTTGCTTTTCAGGTACGTTTCTTCATTTTAGCCTGGGCTGCTGTGTTTTAAATCTTTTATGATATAAATTACACTTATATCACTTTTGCATGGGATTAAGTTAATGTTTTTGAGTAAGAAAAAAAAAGGATAATCTATTTAATACCACAGACTAATATAAGTTTAAATTTGCCTTAAATCTGTGTCTTTTTCCTCTTTGAAATCTCAGGTTGCATAACAACAATTCTGCATTTTTTAGGACAACAAACAGCAACAGTTTATTCAGGCAGATCAGATAAGATTTGATAAAGGGCAACCCAGAGGGGGCAGCATTAGATAGATAAGTGGAAGAAGAATGACGTCTAAGATGTACTGTTCTGCATTAAATGTTTTTCCCAGACATTTGCTACTCTATAGTGGTTCTGGAAATGCAAAAGAAACTATCATGTTTTCAGTATATAATAGTCTGTTCTTTCCAGAAGGAGATGTTTTTGCTCTTTGCACATTCTCTAAAATTAATACCGGAACTGTTTTGTTGAAAATTTAGGCTGTAAAAGGAGATGGAAAATAACTTGTATAACTCTATACACAACTTTTTTCCCCTTCATTTTTATGTTCATGGATGAAACAGTCTAGTGAATCTCCAAATCTTCACCTTCATTCTTTCTCACAATGCAGACCAGTCAAGCATTCTCTCTTAAAAGCTTCCAAGTCAGTACTTAGTTTATGCAGCAACACTTGAGCTTTGTTGCAAAGTTAGCTTTCCTGAAGGTTGAAACGGCTGGAATTTTCTTTTTCCTAAATTAAATAAATGTATATTTTTGGTGGAAATGTTTACATAGAAATAAAAAGCTACCTTCCGAGTACTAGAAAATTATTGTTCAAATAAAAAAATGGATAAAGGTAATATTTTCCTCTTTTAGCCAAAATTGAAATTCAAATCTAAATTATATAAAGCTTAAAATATACATATTTTCTTATAAAGCACATTTAAAACTAGCTGACCTAAGTGCTGTGTGTTCAAATTATACAGAGTTAAATACAAATTTGAATTATAAAAGACAGTAAAGGAGCCTGCCTAACATGGTGAGTTAATGTATCCCACAAGTGTAAAAGCAAGTTAGTGATAAGCTTCTGCTTTGACCGCCAGTAGCAGTTGACCAGCTGACATTTGTCGAATACAACGAGGGAATTAAATCCTAAAGATAACGGAGGAACAAAAGCTTTCAGGCATTTTAGAACAAAATAGTTGAAAAATCAGCCCTTATCCACACATAGATTCATTATGGAACAGCCATAACAGGAGTGCTGTGCTGTGACCTGTGTTATCAGGGCAATGGGCAGCATTTTGAACAAGCTGGGTGTCACAAGGACCACTTGGGAGGAATAGTATGACCTCAGCCTTGGTTGCATCTAGACATTCATCAAAAGATTCATGGAATTAGCATCTTGCTTTTTCAAATGTAGACTTGAGAGTCATTGACATAACAATAAAAGGACACATCCGATTTCTGAAAAATAGAACCCAAGAGTTAGATATACGGAATAAAGAGAGAGGGTCTTAGCGTAGACCCCTGAGTAACCGGTTGAGGACAGGAAATCCCTCATGGCAGCACTAAAAGTTATGATAGCCAGATAAAACTTAACCCACTCCAAAGCAGCACCTCTAATACAAACACAATGAGCACCAGGGCGACATACTGTAGTTATCAGCTTCCGCAGCTAAAGATATATCATTAAAAACCTAAAAAAGAGCAGATTCTGTCCTGGGAAACATTTAAAATCCGACTCAAATACGACATAAATTCCATTTCTCTCCACATATACATTTAAAAGTGCACAAACAACTTTCTCTAGTATTTTTGAAAGGAAAGGAAGTTTGGAGATTCATTTGAATGTAAAAGGAGTGATGAATTAAAACATGTATTTTATTTATTTATTTTTTTTCAATTAGAGGTTGCACCACAACCTGTTTTAAAATCCAGAGACCATGCTTGACAAGACAGAAGGTTTGATGATATTGAAAACATCAAACAAACAGAAGAGCCAAGCATTTTATAGATTGTTCTGATCTTGAAAAAATTATACGTGTTTTTATTAGAACTAGAATCATCTACTGTTAATCTTTTTGCAAATGTTTCTTACTCAAGCCTCATCAAGGCCCCCATTGTATCCTCCTTCCAACGCTTCATTTTTACAATAGATTTAAAACTTTATTTTCTTTTTCTTTTTAAAGCTTTTAATGGTTTGGCCCCGACTAATTTTCTGAAATGTGGCCGGTGTTTGCACCTCCCGGCCACCGTAGTTTCTTCTTTAAAGGCAGATCCAAAGTTTTTGTCCCAGTTCTTCCACCAAATGGGTCTTGTCGGTCGCAGACCTGACCTGGGCCTTTTTAGATCCAGACTTTTAATGATCTCTGCGAATTTTTCCCTCAGATTTCTAACTATTTCTTTGAATTCTTTTAATGTATGTGTGCTTTAGTTGTTTTATAAATTTTTGCATATTTTTTGTTTTTTGTTGAGTTTTTTGTGGTTGGCTTTTTAAGAGCCATATAAATAAAAAACTGAAATGAATGAATAAAACAGCAACAGAAGTTGTTCTAGCCTTGGACAATCCCTTTCACATAATTTCAAATCAAAATTAAATAAGAAATAAAAGCTGTTTTACATCAAATCTGTCCTGAATTTGAATAACATGTAGCTATTCAACAGAACATGAATCACTGTAGTTTATTTTTTCAAATATACACCTATATTAAAAAACGATGTTGAAAATAAAAAAATGTAACAATATATACTTTTGGTTTGAAATCTACATATTAAGCACAGCAGTAGTTAGTTATATAAAAGCATTAGAACCTGTTAATTGCTTTATTCAGGGTTAGATCACCTGGTTTTAAATAAACAAATATGAAAGGAGAGTCTCCCTCGGGATGGTACTGAAGCGGTTTGCGTGATGCTAATGGCAATAACAACTTATCAAATTCCTAAAAATACCCATCCCACATAGGCTGACAATTCCAGAATTCACTCTGGTTTAATATGCAAAATGAGTGGCTCAGGAAGCATGAAATACTATTTTCACGTCTAGGTTAAGCTAAACAGTCTAGCTCTTTGCCCAACAGAGGATCCTTGATATGTCTTTATGTTCTGTTCTCTGTTTCCCATCTTAGCAAATAATAAATACATGAATCAATGAATGAATAAATGAATTCACTCTAGATGAAAAGATAATTCATAAAAGGATCAAACGGCATCACTGCCACCTTGAGTTGGATAGGAGTAGCTGAGGAGCTTAAGGTACAAGGAGGTAATCAAAGCAATCCAACTATAAAAAGGTTGAGCTAATTTAAACAAATTTTACATTAAGTACTACGTCAATGTGGTGCACTGAAAAAAATAATGCAACTGCTTTTGGTATTTACTTAATCATATTAAGTTACTTTAACACAATTGTTTCATGTTTGCAGGGTAGGAAATAAAACAACTAAATATGATTAAGTAAATGCCAAAAGCGGTTACATCATTCTTTCAATGTGTGGTTTTAGGATTCACACACTGCGATGACAAGAACATTTTGCATCTCCATGAGGTTTGTCATCAAAGAGAAGCATGAAGTAATTAGCTGGTAGCTGGCTTTGCTTACTTTGGACCTGATCAATCACATCGGACCAACAGCAGCAGAGGACATGGTTCCCTAAATCAATACCTCAACCAATGTGGATTCTCTCTTAGAGCTGTTTGGGCTGTTAAAGAACAGTCCAGTTGTATTTCTCCTTGATACCCAGGTCCTGGTGTCTTTTGAAATTATGACTACAACCGCAGGCAGTGACTGTTCATGACTTCCCCATGGCTATTACAAAGCATTTCTTTATCACATATCAATTTTCATTGGTCTTATGTAATATTTTAATCTGAATATAAATTTTCCATTAGCTGTTAGACATAAAACACTTTTTTTTTTAAATTTCATTTTAGTTTTTCCATTAGATGTTGATTGTTGAACAACTTTCCAGCCATATCTGAATAATAATTGCATTTAAATATACATATTGTACATATCCTTTACTTTCTACTGCACATTTTGTGCTCAAACTAAAAAAGAGATTTACCCATCATCTTCAAGACATTTTTGTTTCCTCTCTGCAGTTTTCCACCTGGATGCATCCCAGGTTCTCGAAGTGAACGGCCAGGTTGGAGGAAATGTCTCCATCCACTGTTTTGATAGCTGGTCTGCAGTCAACATTTCAGAGCTGGACAGTGTGCATTTCTGCAATGGTATCTGCTCTGCTGAAAACACCATCCTTCAGATGGAGATGATGAGCTCTTCTGTAAAATTGGATGGGAGATACAGCATGGAGTTGGATGGAGAAGACGGGGTCTTTACTGTGACAATAAACAAACTAAAGAGAACCGATACTGGCAGTTATCTCTGTGCAATGAGTAGAAGCTTAAAACTCACGTTCCAAGAAGTTAGTCTAAAAGTGGTTGATGGTAAGTTTTTAGGTGGATGAATAATACATTCTTGGTGTTAAAATAGAAGTAACTTCATTATTACATACCAAAAATCCTATTAGAACAACATACTTCCTTATTAGGATGTTACATGATTTATAAATATTAGCAAAATATCAATTTAAATATTATTAAACAATATACATATTTCGATTATTTCACAATTATGAATGTATGCATTATAATTATTTGATTTGATATTCTTAATATATCTTTATTATCGATTAACGTAATTATTGAATTTCCTTTTGGGATTATTAAAGTATTTTTGAAGTGAGTTTAATAGACACAGGTCTTTTCCTCTAGCCTCAGAGGTTTGTTCAAGAACATCAGCGAACAAAAAGCCTGTTAAAGACCAGGAAGGGATGAAAACATAGAGAAATTTAAAGCAGGATTATGTTAAAACCAGGTAAAAACTCCAGTCTAAATATTTCCCATTTATATACTTAATTTTTTTTCCACTTTTTGTTATGTTTCAACCAAAAAATGAAAAGTTTTGGGAAAACTTCTTTGTGAAACTGTATGAAGGAGCGGATTGTTTAGATAATTATCGTCTCAAAAGTGCTACGAGCTCAAAACAACAAAGCTCAGAAAAGTTGGCGCTGACCTACTTGATACTGACAGCCTAGGGTCATTTTGAAGAACAGTCAACCTTGTGATGCCTTCCTGATGGACAGATAGTAAAACCCTGATCTCTGCCAGAATTTTAAAACATCTACCTCTCAAATTGTTTTTACTTAAGTCACCAGGATGTCATTATTTAATCATTTTTACCACCAAAATCAACTTGGGATGGCTTTAGTATAAACTAAAGGCAACAGATATTTCCTAACTTCAACCATTTTTTATTTGAAATGCTTTTTATTCCACATAAAAATTCTGTTGATTAAATGGGACTGGTTGCTTTTACCGCTAATAGACAAAGGATGGAGCATCATTTGAAAAATGAATTTGAAAGTTTTAGAATATATTTAAACATAAAAAGTACAATGAAAATGATTGATCTCTCTCATCATAATCAGTTGTCCTATGAAATTACATGCATTACTTGGATCTATTATTGCTGAACAGTTTTTTACATGAAGAACCTAAAATCTTTGAATCTGAAAGGCTGCTTCGCTATAACCATAATCTTTAGGTCCACTGATTCTCTATATAATCTAAGATAGGACTCTAATTTAAAGCATATAATGGTATTACTTAAATAAAAAACAAAAAACCAAAAGGGAAAGATTAACTGAAACATGTTTTTTTTTTTTTTAAAGGGAATTAAAAACTTTGTGTCCAAGTATTTGGTAATATTTTTTCTGCTAGCAAAACTGATTACACAATATCTCTCTTTTAAAATATCCTGTTTAGGATTTATCCAACTTATAAATCTACATTTCAACTGACTTGGAGTTATTTAATAGTCCAATCCGTATTCTGTGAATGTGAGAAGCTTTATCATGTGATTACTTGGTAATGTGTTTTTTTTTTTTATCTTAGCTATATGTTACAGTGTCACATGAGCCTAGACCAATTTATCCTCACTGACCAGCCATTTGTCTTGGCCTCTCAAAGTTTCCACTGTTCCTGCTGGATCCCCTGAAGCCCCCAATACCACCCAGCAGGCAGGGCTACGCTCTCCCAGAGGCAGCTTTCCATCAAGCGATGAAGCATCTCACGTTACAATCATGCCACCATCTTCAGACAGGAAAAGAAGACAGAAAGAAGCAAACCACCTAACAGGTATCACACCTTTTCAAGACAAAACCTTAAAATATTATAGAGCAAGTCTTGAAATACATTGATTAGGTTTACAAATTTATTTAGGTTTATTTCTAATCAAAATTATTGCCTCAAGTTATGGTTGATGTTCCCCAAATGAAATTCAGGAAACAACAGGATAAGATCAATGTCCTAAATATGAGTAATTAACTGCACATGAAAATATTACTACTAGTATTATATAACGTAAGAATAGGTAAGTTCAATGGGATAGATAATACTTTAGCAGCATGAAGAGATTAAAATAAAATAAGAACAAACATAACATTAATTAAAGGGACATGTAATTGTTTCTCTTTATTTATTTTTTTTTTTTTTCTGTACATGGTATTAACACTACAGGATCAATTCACTAAGCCTGTCATTTTCAGACATTTTTTACAACACAAACAATTCAACTTCCTGGAACGTAGACCCTCTATTAAGTCTCAAACTGGTCCAGTTATTTTATTTATATTGCATTATATAAAATAAACTATAGCTTTAATTTTTTGAATGCATTAAACGGAAAATAAATTCATGATTAAAATAAAAAGTACATAATGTATCATTGTTATATATATAATACATATAGAATATTTTCAATTTCTTGCTTTATTCATATCTGGTAAGTAGTATAATGTTACTAAAACCAAATTTAGGAAAAATTAAGACAACTATGTCTTAATTTAACTATATCAATATGATCACAGAATTAAAAAGAAGTAGAAAACTTTTTTTTTTTAGAAAATATGATTTAAAGGTGTTAAACCATTGATAAGTCATAATAATCTCCTCAAGCATAGAAAACACCATAAAGCATCGTTCTCAGTCGAGTCTGTAGTACAGGAACTGAGGACTTCAGGATTTGGCCACAGACATATGGTGTTAGAAGATCTGAAATATAATCATGTCTAAGACAAGATTTAAACTCCAAATAACCTCAATAACGTCTCAAAATTAACATGTAGCTAAAGAAAATATATATATATAAAAAAAATTGTTTTTTGTTCTCTTGGTTTTAGCGAGAACTCCAGCTGCAGCATTTTAAACCAAGCCTAGTTTATGTAAGCTCTGCTGGCCAAAACAAATTTATAATGAGTTCCAATAACTGAGTCTAGTGGACATAATGAATCATGAATGACTTTCTCTTTTGGGTAAAATTGAACTGACCTCACTGATATTCTGTTTGACTGCATGTCTGTATAATCTAAATTGACATGTTTATTTAAGATGAGGATCATTTGACAGTGTTACTGTGTGTTATTGAGGTTAACAGAAACCGCATGTCATCACTATAAGGTATATCTGGAAAGCAAAGATGAAAAATAGAAAACTAAGAAATCACATAAATGTAAGTATCCACAGCTTTTGCCGTGAAGTCTGTATTAAGCTGAGGTTCATGCTTTTTCTACTGATCATCTTGAGATGTTGCTGCAGCTTTTTTGAAGTCGGCCTTTGGTAGATTTAGTTAAAGGTAAAAGATTAGGAGAGGAACCCATCGGTCCATATAAGGTCCTACAGTGTGTAACCACCAAGCATGAAGTCGAAGAGTTTGTCTGTAGACCTCTGAGAGCGCAAATCTGGGGAAGAATTCAGAAAAAAAATGGATGCTGCTTTAAAAGCCCCAATGAGCAATGGACATTTTGAGCCCACAGGATTCTCCCCAGAGCTGCTGCACTGTCTACACTCTGTCACTCTGTCAGAGCTCTAGGAAGATCTTCAAGAGAGACAACTATCTGTACAGCATGTGTTGTAGATTAGCCAGATGAAAATCATTTGGGAAAAGACGCTGGCAGCCCATCTGATGTTTTCCAAAAGACACTAGAAGGACTCTAAGCTCATGAGATACACAATTCTCTGGTCTGACGAGACAAATTGTAAAATCTTAAAGCCTGAGCTCCTGGCCATACTCAGTGATTGGCCGTTCCCCCAAATGAATATACACGTTTGATATTCAGAGCTGAAGAGTCAATGGCGTAACTATCGGTAAGCAGAGACTGCAGTTGCTTAGGGGCCCTCGACCTCTTAGAGGCCCCGTCACTGACATCTGGTTGGCCCCCTATGCAATTGTGGACTAGGATTTCTCTTTGCAGATGTGATGGTGCGAAAAGTTCCTCTTAAATCCACCTGATACTAGATAGTCTGACCACATCTTATTTATACCCCAACACATGGCAGATTTCAACAGGATGGTGAGCTGTTTAAATGCGACACCAATAGCAAAGCGGACAGTGGTACTTTTAATTACTATGTTATTAACGTTGTTAATAATGTTGTGTTGTTATGCCATTGTGAAGAGGGTTATTATCCAGTCTGCTGTTTTGTGTGACATCCACATATTCTGTCACACATCATGGGTATAGGCCCAATAAAATACAAGGAAAAAAAAGAAGTATAAAATTAAAGTAACATTACTACTTTGATAAAACACACCCACAAGATCTTCAAGTTTCTCTTCTAAAAAAGCACAATAACAAAACATATAAATAAAGACACAAAACTGGCTTATATTGGAAAGAGAACTGGACTTTCGGCTCACAAGTTGACTGTTGGGCCGGGCCTAGGCCCTGTGGGCTCATGGATAGTATCTGAGCGAAAGTCCCTCTGCCTTCTAATTTAAGCCTGTTTTGTGGTTGCAATTACATCCGGGTGACTGAGAATTTACAAAGGCATGTCTGCATAGACTTTGGATTTTACATTTTCAGCTTACGAAAACAAACAAAAAGATCAACCAGCTACCAACGCTTTAGTGATTTTAATGTGAAATCTTTTTTATGAGAGGATGTTTTAAACAATGTATTAACCATCAGCCATTGTTGTCTGCAGACACAATGGTTGTCATAATCATCTCTGGAAGCCTGGCTTTTCTGGTTTGTGCCATTATCCCTCTTATATTCTACAGACGGTGGCGAAATATAGCAGGTAAGGTTATACAAGAGGAGAATTCTGAAATCTTGCTGCATAAAAGACTTAGATGTTCTCCTTATGCTATTCGCTTTCTTTAGGTCAAAACAAACATGCAGAAAATATAAATGCGGTAAGTTTTTTTTTTTGCCTTTTTAATGTGCTTTCATAGTTATAAAAAGGTAAATTTTAATGTTTAAATTCTTTACAGAATGACTGCTGTCAGGAAAATGTAGATACAGCTTCCACTCAAATAGCAGTGGGCGTTCAGACTTCAGAAGAGGATCCTCCAAAATCTGAGGCAGAGGACAACCTCCAGTACGCTGAGGTCTATGAGGGGCTGGATCCCAAAACCCTCGAATGAGCAGGAATTATTCAGTTTCTTTGCTGTTTTTTATTGTGAAACTAACACACTCTATTCTATGTGAAATCATAACATCTCTTTGAATATCCCTCCGTACTATCTGTTGCTAAAGTTGTAGCGTTTCTAGAGTGATAGCTGAGCTTAAACAAATTCTAAGAACAACACAAAGAAGCATGCAGCTGCATGGGCCTCATCCAAACATGCATATATTAACAGCGTGCAAAGTCGAACTATTAACTGGATGCACACACAGAAATGCTTTTGTAAAATTACCAAAATAAATACACAGCTAAGCTTGTTTGACCTTCAGGAATATGCAGAACATATTGATAATCAGGGCATGCAAAATTGAGAAGCATGTGCTAAAAATTGAAATTACTTAGAACAAGCAACGTGATTCGTAAACCATGAAAGGGATGGTGGGTGTAGTGTCTGCTTCTACAGTTTATTTAGTCCTTTGACCGTCAGGTAAAACTTACACGCAAAAATGTCTGTTGTCATCAGGAGAAGGAGACATAAGTGCAACCACAGACAATGGAAAGAAAATGTGACATATGTATATTAATTTATTTGGAGTGTTGGAAATGAGACTAGTAATGAAGGTTCCTACAGATACTCTATATACTCCAAATGCACTGATGTCCCCTGGCTGTATACTTCCTAAAATGTGCAGACATTAAACAACATTCCCTCTGAACGCCTCACAATCAGAAACAGTCTTTAACAATTATCTAATAAAGGCAGATATGCTGTCTGGAAAAGGTTCCCTTCAAACCGGACACAACCGGAGCAGTTTGCTCATGAGGAGTTGAGCAAAATACCTGCTGAGAGGAGCAGAAATCTCATTGACACCTTTAGGAATTGTTTGATTGCCTCAAAAGGTTGTGCAACAAAATAGTATATTATGGGTACCATAATTTTTACCCAGGCCTGTTTAGGAGTGTATTTTCCAAAATGTTTCCATGCTTGGTTGAAAAGCAACGTTTGAAGTTTATTGTTTTCATTTTCACTGAATTTTTTTATTTCTTATTACTTTTGTCAGATTCAAATAATTTCTGTGACCACTGTCCATGTGTGTAGTAGTTTTCCTGTTATTCAGTTCTGAGGCATCAGATGAATTGCCTTTATTTGCATACCGGTACTTTAAATCCCAATTAAATCAACCATAAAAGTGGCTTAAAACAAATTGGTCTTTTCACTAATAAATAGGAAGTTGCTCTTTTCCCACTGAGTGGAAATTTGTGTTGATCAGAGGTGAAAAATTTTATTTTATTACACATTTTTTAACTTTAAAGCCACTTAGGGTTAAGGCACTTTTACTGCCTTCTGGGATTTTGTTCTGGATTAGTGGTGCCTACAAACAAATGCTAACTCTCTATGTTTGGTTTTGGTTCTGCATTTGCAGAGTAGATCTTTGGCTGGTTGATGCGTTTACAACAAGTCTTTAATCTTTTTTGGTGATAACTTTAACATCTAATCTCTGAGATACAGGTAGCCAGTGATGTGCCTTTCTTTCTAATTTTTGGTGAGGATGCAGGCAGCAGCATTCAGCTGCAGCAGATCTGTGAAGACATTGTTGCTATAGTCAATTCTCCTAAAACGAACACATGAATAGGTTTTTTAAGTCCTGTCAAGACATGAGTCCTCTAATCCTGGAGATGTTCTTTAGGTGATTGAAGATCAACTTTGTTGCTGTCTTTATGTGCCCCTGAAGGTTGAGTATTGAGTTAATCACGGCATCAAGATAGTGAGCCTGATAAGTGGTTTCTACTCTCTCAATGAATTAATTGAAGCTGGCTTGTAACTTGTTTTTTTTCTCCTTGGGTCCAAAAATGATTACCTCAAATGATCTGATGGCTTCCAGGACAAAAGGTGCAGTAATGGTCACTTCAAGTTTTCCTACAGATGATAGGTCCTAATTTTATTTATCAATTAAACAGAAAGGTCTCTTCTATTCTCCACCACATGTATCTTTCCCACATAGAGGTTCCCATCTGCCATCTGCAAATATATGGCCGCCTGTGTTATTCACAAAATAAAACCACTCACCGACTTCTTATGATGACAACCAGAAGCAGAACCAGATTCAAATGATTCAAATAGAGTTGTCATGGCCACTTTCATCACTTTCAGCCTCTACATCTGCACACAGTGTTGATACAGTATATCCCTGGAAACACACCCACTTTTTGCACATGAAACTCTCTGTTTGCACAAGCAATTAGCGTTTAGTAGATCATGTTCAGTACATACATATTGCCTGACATGGCAGACCACCATTAAACACATGATTAAAGAAAGACAATAAAAAGGACCAGCAGAGGGCACCACATGTGTGATGTTATTAGGCATTGAACGTGATCAAGACAAAAAGGCAGTTTATCCCAGAAGAACATAAATACAAAAGTTACAAGGGAATAAAATCCAATACAGTGGAAAAGGAGTTGAGAAGGAAAGATGGTATAGAAACTAAAGAGAGAGAGAAATAGATAGAGACAGGAAACAGCTCATGAAGAGAAGGAAAATAAAACAAAACAGCAAAAATAGACAATAAAGAGGATATACAGCAACTCCTTGAAGTCTTCTTCCTGTGTTAGATGAGAGGGAAAGAAAACGGGGAACATAACAACAGCAAAAGAGGACAACAGACAACCAGAGTAAACGTCAATAAAAAGCTCCAAGAACAGCGGTATCCCTTACATATCCATGTGTATGGAAGGCAAACTCTATGGTAAATACACACTATTTATCAGGGTGGTATATACCCGTAGCTGCAGCTTAGTATTTACTAATACTGTGTATCAGTGAGCACCTGGAAGCAAAAGCTCTTGGTGTATAGTGGGCATGCTTGTTTATAAAGGATTAACAAAGCTTCTTCAGAAATAAAATATGCTCAAAACAGGTGTGGGTGGTTCCAGACTCTCACTACAGGTCAGAGGAATCCATAAAGATGCAATCCTTGCCCTATATATCCAGGGGCATCCCAGATCACTTGGAAACAAGAGGGGCAAACATAGGGACGGCTGAACCCGCCAAAGAAGGGCAAAAGAGGGCACCCTGAGCCCCAAGGTGCCAAACCTGAAAGTGGCTGAGTCCCTGTGGGGCCTCACTCCAGAGGCCATAGTGCCAAGGTCCCATAGGGCAGTGGCAGCAAGCCCATGGTCTCCGCTGCAAGCTGGATCCGGATGGGAGCCCAGGAGTCTGAGGCCGGGGCACACCACTACCCTAGTGGAGACAGGGCCAGGAGGCCTAGGCCTGGTCCGGCAGCCACCTGGAATGAGAGAGTGCGGACAAAAGTATTTTACAAAGTCCTCTTTGAAACAGTAATTGGTGTCTAAACCTAATACCTGAAGCTGGGCATACACTTTTTGATTTGTTGCCCTTTTTGGGCCGATTTTCCAATTGGGTGATAATTTCTCGATCATGCTGAATCATGCAAAGAAGGAATATTCTTCTGATTCTTCCTCTCAGGCGAAAACACAAAAGCATGGCGAGGCTGCGAGTGAAATGGAGTTGTTTCTGTAAAATTGACAGACCGTAGTACCACGTTTGCTCAGCCATGTCTTTGTCCAAATACGTCGTCGCATTTGTACTTTTTAGGGCTTTCAGCACACAAAATTGCACAAATTGCCAAGGCAGCGTTTCTCTCTAGTGAGCTTCATATTCCTCTTCTGCTCGTTTGGCTTATGAATAGACAAGTCCGACTAGCGCCATCTCACTGCAGAGCTGAGTCCGACGTGGTTTTTAGACCTACAGAGTGAGCAGGTCGTCCCAAACGCACAGAGTGAGAACATACATTGTGAGCTGTGAACTTTTAAACCATGCGGTTTTGATGCACAGTTTAGGCCTTTTTTGATTTTATTTGAGCCTTGTTTCTATGAAGTTCCATAATCCTGTCTAATTGATCTATTCCTCATTTCTTGTTTCATTTTACAGAAATCCAACACATACTTTTAGTTTCTGTCAGAACAGGCCTCATGTTCTTGAATACCAATAACAGTATGCGGTTCCGTATTTTTTTTCAGAATGTTGCCACTTAGCCCACGCTGTCCTTATTTTTAACTGGAAACCACAAATAAAAATGAGCTGGGGATTTCTATATGGCTTATAAATGCAGCTAGTTCTCAACGAATCAAAAAGCTGGATGTTGTTTCTGGGTAAAGCTAATATTTAATGTGTCTGCTGTTAGTCTGCTATTTAGATAAATAACATATCTACAAAATAAAGTTACTCTTTGTGCAAAGATTTAAATCTTCCCTTGATTAATTGTTTATGTGTAAGATCTTTTAATAAAAAACCTATTGTGATGCCTAGGTTTTATCAAGAATTAAGGAACTTTATTGTCATTATGTCACCATAATGAAATTTCCTTAAGACTTCTGACTCGGTAGGGCTTTAGACAATAGGTTCATAACAGAAAAGCACCACACAGGACTTCTATTATAATTTTATTCCATTTCAGATGTCTTGTTAAGGTAGGTATTCCGACATAATTTGTTTTCCGTGCATCAAGAAGACAGATTCAGCAGAAAGAGCTGAGACTTTGTCTTTTCACACCTTCGTTGTTTTCCTATCTGCTTCTTTATTGAAAGAAAATCATTTTAATCTGCTAGAGTTGTAAATAAATTATAACTTTAGCAGTATTTGATTTATTGCATATTAAATGTGTTTCATATGGAAACAACAAACTGAACAATGGAGAACATTTATCTTTTACTTTTTATCAAATCCACATCTAGTAAATTGGAATTGAGGAGCAGTCAATGAAGCATAGAAACAAGCTCTGCGTTGGATGAAGCTTGCTTATTCGGATGAATAAAGCATATTATGGAAGTATATTATATAAAGGATATTATGTCAATATGCTCTAAAATGTGTTTAAGTAAGCTAACATCAGCACATATTCACTTCAGGCAAGATGAAGTCCATAATAAACACTGCAGCTTTACTATTCTCCATGGTTCTACTCCATATGTTACAGACTTTATTCTGTGAATAATGTAGCTTACTTACAGGTTTTGTTAGTAAATTAAGTTACAAATACAATTATACAGCTACCCTGCCTGCTATGGTAGATTAAAACTTAAAAAAAAAAATCCAGATAATATTAAGTCTGTCATGCAGTTAATATCTGGTTAAAAGATTGTGCTGTGTGTGTACACCATCACCATATTATCTGTGGTTAGCTGCAGGTTCAGGAGGGGATTCATTTGTTTTGTGAGGATTCAGGTTTTCATTCATGAGTTGTTGCTTTTACATGTAAGGACTGAAACCTATAAAGTATAATTCAAAATTTTGCTAAAACATGTGATGACACATTGAAATCTCAAATCCTGTTTGTTACAAAAAGCCCCCTCATTGGAAAAGCATGCATGTGTACGTGCATTCTGCAGGAACTGTAGGCCTCTCATATTTATTGGGTTGCTAACGCCCACAGCTTCCATCCTCTGCTATCATACAGTTAAAACCACAGGAAGCTGTTACGGAGTTGAGTGCTTGTTTACATGTGATTTCATTTGAACGAGCCAAGTGGCGGTGACGCTTGTCTTTAGGTTTTCTAACAATCTGTACTGATTTTGGGACGACCACCGAACCACAATGACGACCATTTTTGCCTTCTTCTGTCTTTTGAAAGGTATGTAGTAGTGAGTAGTAGTAGTGACACGTGTTAATGGCTCATAATTAATTTGATAGTAAATAATTTCCAAATGTTTAAATGAAGACCAATGTAATAGCATATTATTTTCACAGTAACGTTGGCACTTGCTGCTGAGATCAACATTGAGGGAATTGAAGGAGGAGATGTTTCATTCAAATGCTCTCACAAACTGGCAAACAACAACAAAAAGTACTTCTGCAAGGATCCATGTAACAGTAAAGACATACTGGTTACTGTTTCACCTGGTGAGAAGGCAGAGTCTGGAAGGATAAATCTGGTGGATCATGAGGACGGTTCCTTCAAGGTTACCATCAAACATCTTCAGGTGTCCGACTCACACGTGTACTGGTGCGCAGTGATTAGGTCCATGCGCAACACGTTCACATCTGTAAACCTTACAGTACATAAAGGTACATATGTTATTCTTCAGTTATAGCCAAAAACATTGATGTTATGTCTGTATCTGTTACGGCTTGTTGTTGTTAGCGGAGGATTTGAATGCCTATGTCTACGAGTATTTTCCTTTTAGCAAATAAATCACATATTAAGTAGAAAATAGTCACCCTTATAGTATTTGATAGTATATTTACACAACTGTGTACTACAATATCCACTGGGGTGCCCCTCAGTTTTATTAAATTATTTCCAGATAACTTAGATAAACTTATATTTTAAAAAGTCATAAGCTCTTTGTGGCAGAGTTTGGTTGCTCCTTTAAACTCTTTCATGATCAACCAGTCAGCTGTAAATATGTTTAAAAAATCTGTTCTGATGGAAATAATCTTTTTCAATCTATGGGAACAATTCAATCCATTGTTTAAAATTATGATTTATTTCGTCAATCAAATTTATTACTTCAAATATATTATTTTACTATTGATCTCACTGTGGTTTATAACGTAATCTTACAAATAGGTGAAATACATATTTCACTACTACAACCAAGAGGAAAGAGGTTCTAAATAAGAAATTATTGTCCAAAAATAAAACTTGAAAAGTAGATGAAACAATGTGCTCAGCAGTCTAAACTTTATTTATTTAAAGATATATGTGGGTGTTTGTTTAGTTTTTCCCAGATTCTGAATGGAAAATTTATTTTGTGATTTTGTATCTCTGCTTATTTTTGTATCTCTGCCTCCAACTCCTTGAACCCCAGTCGGCTTCGGCAGATGGCCGCTCACACTGAGCCTGGTTCTGGTGGAGGTTTCTTCCTGTTAAAAGGGAGTTTTTTCTCTCTACTGTCGCTACAAGCATGCTTAGTGTGAGGGATTGCCTTTGAGTCAATGAGTCGATGTAATCAACTGGTCTTTAAAGTGTTCTCAAATTAAGCTGTGGCGTCACCTGTCCATCAGAACCCACTTTGGACCACTTTAGGTTTGGTTCACCCGCAGTAAAAGGAGAACATCTTGACGTATCACTTCAGTCCTGTCACTTTGGATCAGTCTGAAACAGAATTTCTAAAAAAATAAACAGATCTGGCAGGGCAATATGATGCATGTTTCCCCAATGGAATAAAAACAAAACAAAAAAAAAACTAACAAACAGACGCAAATTAATACAACTGGATTGAACTGGCTGATCAAGCAATCCTGGTTCAGTCTGGCCAGCACAACTTATTTATAGATTCTTTTGTCTGTCTTCTGTCTTTACTCTAAAAAAAACTATGTCATTCTTTTCAGCAGTGTTAAAGACAACTGTTCCACCAACTGTTTCTTCCCCCTGGTTTCCAGACTCAACCACCTCAACACAGATGACAAACAGTGTGGGGACAACTACAACCAGAAACATCTCAAATGGTAGGAATGCCTTTCCTGTCCTATGTAAGTCCTTTAAGGTCAAAACATAAATCACCTTACTCTTCATCTATTCCTACAGAGATAAACAGCACTGGCAGTGTAAATAGACTTAGCAGCAACCTTGGTGAGTATCTGTTCAGACAGTTATCATACAACATGTGCATGAGCAGAATCAGATAACTTATTCTTTATCTTGCATCTGATCAGGCCCCATGCTGGGTGCTGGGGCCGTGACCGCTGCTACTCTCATAATCTTCATACTGGCTGCATGCATCAGGAAACGCAGAGAAATGTCAAAACCTCAGCTTCAAGTTTGCTCCAACCACAAAGACCCCGGGAGTAAGGTAAGGATGTTTCCTTACAGCATCTTTGTCTTGGGCCAGCCAGAGATTAATTCTATACAGCAGATTAATTTGTATTCACACAAAGCTACTTTCTTTTCCTGGTTTCAGAGGTGGAACATTTGAAATGGGTTTTTCCAACAGCAACATTGCTTTCTGTTTCTCTCTGTCTTTGTTCAATATGTGAGAGTTTTCGTGTAGGGGTTCTTTACTGTCACATCTCCTGCCTGTGTCAGGTTGTTAAACCTGGAGGAACAATTTGACATTTAAGAAAACAAATGTGCTAATTTACCCCGCGTCTAACGCTGTGAACATACATTTCTCTTACACAGGTGTTATACTTGAGGGACAGTTTGACTGTTTAGAGAAACAATCTCTGTATCAATCAGTCTTGGCCTTGCAGAGCAGCCTATAATTAGGGAATATATAATTTATTTGTGCAAATCTTTTATTCAATTTTGGTCAGGAATAAGGCTATTTGATAGTTAAATAAATACGTCTGAGTACGAAACAAAGAGGTGCAGTAAGCCTTGATAACAAAAGATTATCTCTAAACAAAATCAAAGATAGGAGTGGAACGTATGGATGAGTCATTAGTTCTACTGTGAAGGCACTAGTGGCCTTTGTTTGACATTTTGCTCACAGAAATGGGGTTGTGGGGGTTATGTAGTGAGGGTCCATAAGCTGGGATTTGAATCCAGGACAGCTGTGTAAAAACAGAGGAC